CTATATTGTCCCATTATTTCCTCTGTCTCGCGATACATCTCTCTCTTTTTTTTTCTTTGGAAGAATGTTCATTCCTGACGCACGGTCGAAGTTCAGCGCCTTCGAAAACGCCATACGTCTCGCAGTGCGAGCGGCCTCAAAGGGCCAAGAACAATAAGGCCTCGAGTAAGTGACGTCACGCGCGCACCGAGTGCGTCTGCCCCGAGCCACTGGAATGCCCTCGTGCAGTGTATTTGTCGCCTTAACATGTGTGCGTGGACTATAGCAAGTACGACCAGGTTTACGCAAGCTCAGCTGTACTTTATGCATTGGCGTATCCGCAGTAAAAAGTGTACATGGTAGCGCCTGGGCATAGAGTTTCCTATAAAATTAACTAGAGGGGACTCTGGCGCTGCGATCGTTCAGCGACCATGGGAATGATGGGTAGAACACACATTTGCCTAGTCTTCGTACTTGCGGGCGGCGAATCGTACTTGCGGCTTCGTTTGCTGCTGTGTCTCGGTTTTGTTTTGAAAGAAAGATTCAACCCTTTTGAACTTTGTGACCCGGTATGGAAAGGTAAGTCTAAAAGAATACTGAGCGCAACCACTGAACATTCGCTTATATTTGTTTCGTGAGAAAACAGCTCCAAGCCACACGAACACACACGGAGCCAAAAGCAGGCCAGAAGTACGAATATTAGACAAATGTGTGTATATACCAATCATTCCCATGCTCGCTGAAGCGCCGTGCGTTGCAGCTCCCACAGACATTAGCGCCAGAGTTCCCTCTATTGTATATCAGAAAACTCTATACGTTTGGGTATCCAGAATATAGGTTATCCCCCGCACTCCCAGCCAAAAAAAAAAAAAAATCATGGTTGCACCACTGCCTACGTGCGACCTTTACACATTTTGTGCTCATGTATGATAGCGTATATAGATCAATCATTCAATTGATCGATCATGCATAAGCGTGGCATTTGCCATGGGTTTCTCACCACGGGACTTTTCGTTATATCGTCACAGCGCGTGGACTAAACCGACCAACAAAAGGCCGTGTCGTTCAAAGTTTCATATGCGTACGCCTTTGAATGTGCATGAAGGGATGCCGTAATCACGGCGAAGCAGCGGTTATAAATGGCGTAAAACTCAATGCCATCAAGACAAAATCTCTCTACATCTTTCACAATATTCGAAGTTTGGAGTTATATGAGAATGAGCGACTGCCGGAGTCAACGCTTCGACAAGCTTGTTCTGACGAAGACAAAATGTCCCTAGTCAAAAGGTTCACTTCCACGACGTTCCATATTCAACGATTTATAATCGCACAATTAAAGATACGGTTATTCCCTGATAATGCGCATTCCAAGCCAACTCGCCCACTATAGTAAGTGGGCGACTTCATTCATATTTGGAGGTAAAACTGGTATATGCAAGTAAACACATGCGACAGGGACACGAAAACAATGAGCATGTTTATACCTGTCCATCATCTTTGGACAAAGACATCAAGAGTCAGATCAAAAGCAAACCGAAAATTCATCTCAGCAAGGAGGAAGGGGTTTGTGGGAAAACACTGTTTTACTGCAGCTTGACTAAGCTCAGCCGCCGGTGTTACATTTCGACAGCACTGACTAGTACATTGCATGGAAACCCAATTGAAATGGGAGAAAAAGTTAATGCAACGAGCACAGACGTGAATGCAGTAAGTTGAGCCTTTTATTTCATTATAGTAGCACAACGCAACATCACGGAATCAAGAAAGACGTACACAAAATTAATTAAATATAATGTGTGGCAATGAACAATCGCAACCAAATAAGAGAAAGAAAGGCAACGACCACCTCAAACTGAGCCTCTATGTAAACAGGTAATAAACGCATATGTAACGAAGCTAATCTTGCCGTATAGTAGCGTATCGAAGTCCATATCAGCCCATCAAATGAAGGTGGTTACGGAAAAATTGCTAATAAACAATATGAAAACGTCGCTTCGTAGCATTCCTTAGAGGGATCGCGAAACGCTCGCTCTAAAGCGACAGTGCGAAGCCACCGGCGTCCGCACGCACTAACTAGGTGACGTCATCATAAGTAATTCTAATAAGCAATAATAATAATAAGTAATAAGTGCTATAATTCAAGCATGAAGAGAAGCTTGCCGCTGACGTGAGGTATAGAAGCTGCGGCCAACAACAGCGTCTACAGTCATACGTCCCGCCGCTCAGACAAGTGTGACTCTATCCGTACGACAGTTACAACTCTAATTACGATTAGAAATAGCAATCGTATTCAGTTACGAAAATTGTTTGGAACGTGCATAGGAAAACATATTTCTAAAAATTGCTATTCCTTTCCTAAAGATAGAATCAAACCTTTGTCTAAACACTATATAACTTGCAGTGAACCCACTGCACTTGTATTGCACGAAATAATAGCAGTGGGTATGGACGTTGTACCAGTACAGACGACACGTGTACCTCGATGTACCCCTCCCCCCACCCCAAATCGGCCCGATGGGAGCAACTGCCGTACTGCCTCCGCCACAGTGCTACAGACCTGTTCTACGAACTGTGCTGCACACATGGAGGAAGGAATAAACTGGCTGCACAGCAGGCAGATGTTATCCGACGTGTAGGACGCCGTCGTATTGCAAAGCGCTGGTGGGGTGACGCGATGACGACCCCGAGCAAACGTGCGGTACATACTCGGCTGCAATGCTGTCATGTTCCGCGCGACATTTGCGACGCGTTGAGATGGGTGAGAGAGGTCTTCCAGGTAATTCCGCATGATGTTAGTCATCACACTTAACTATATACCGTCAGCTTCATTCAGTAGAAACGGCTGGCTGTCCTGGCAACGCAACAAAAACGAAAAATAAAAAAAAGGACAGGTGGGGAAGACGGGCAAGCACAGGCTGTCTGCTGAAACGGTCTACAGCCCTATTAATGCTAATGACGAAGATACTCTACTTTCTAGCTTACTGAAGGCTCACAGTGCAGACACGTATTTCGTCGTGCGTATGAACATGTACGATCGTCATCAAATTCAAAGGCATTGTTCGTCGTTACGGCGCTCTTACGGGGACAAAGTTCGGCTAGAATGACAGAAACAGCCTCTGACGTCAGCAGAATTAACAATCATATTTATAAAAAAATGAAAAAGAAAACAGTGCAAGAGCCACCAGAAAGAAAGACTGGCAGAGCCATTGCGATGTTTTTTTTTTTCTTACAATAATGAACAATCAACTAGCCTAACTAACAACCATTGTGAAACTCCGTACGTTAAACATTACAGTCATACTAAACTAAGAAAGGCAATTTAATATTAAGAACATGTTGCGTATATTCGCTATACATGGCGTTGTAATAGACTGCGCTTCCCGCGCAGCCCTGGTTGAATCTCGTTCGAACTTGCTGTTAGGTCAGTTGTTAACTATACCTGTTGCTGGGCTAGTTGGAAGTCTACATTACGGGAAAAAGAAATAAGGACCTTCGTGTTAGCGAGTCATCCGTGGTATTGCTTGAGAAGGAAATCTCTTAGTTAGGTTTTCTGTATTCTCGCAAAACTTGGTGAATCATTGCACATTCCCATCATTATTGACCATCGCTCTTGAGCCTCATACAGCAGTTATGCATGATGATCGGTCACGCACAATAAACAGATGGTAGCTATCGTTCTGTTTTTTTTTTTTTTGGATGCGTGTGTGAATGTGGACGTTTTTTTTTTTTTTTTAAGGGGATTCCAAGTCGCGCAAAGTATACCTTCATTATGTGGTGGAATCTGGTCCGAGAAATCTCACATCAGCTATATACACATTTCCTCGTACGCCACAGGCCTATCTTGCGGTTCATACTAGCGATGTCGTTAACCTCAAAAGCACAAAGTAAACAACAACAATGACGGCGACAACAACAACAACAACAACTATTATATACTACAGAATTCGCACAAGGGCACACCGCAGGCGTACGGGTCGTCACGAGTCGTACTCGTTTTAGCAGTAGCGGTTGAGCGTACACTGTAAAACGTATTCGCTAGGTACGAAGGTGCCGTACCATCGTGATCGGCGCGAAGCTTTCGCAATTCAAATGTTTTTTTATCCACGCGATTCACTAACTGCGTGGGTGACGCGGTGAGGCGATTAAATTAAAGCGGGTAATATGGAGGCCTTGAAGACTAAAGAGCCAAGTGGCGACCAAGACGGTACAGTGTTTCCCTACTTGACTTACGGTCACTGCTAAAGACCATATTGATTCTGTAACGGGCAGACGATTAAGAGAGAGAGAGAGAGAGAAAAGACACTGCGCTGCTGCTGAGTGCATAGTTACGTACTCACAAGTATTGCAATAAAGGAACCACTCAGTCGATACCAGGGAGTTCTAGATTTCTGTGACCCACACTGGGGTATACTTTAAGCGCCGGGCATACGAATGAATTGAAACTCTCTCACAAAGAACTACCAGAGATATAATGGCTTCTTACTTAATCTTGTCTAACAAGTCATACTAAACAAGTCTAACTTGTTTAGTATGACTATAATGGCAGTGTAGTTACGAAAGTCTTCAAGGTAACCAACTGACGCAATATTTAAATCTCGCGATTGATTGACTGTTGCTTTTAATATGATATTTCTAGAAATTCAAATGAATATCGTGCAGTATTCTATTGTCGATGGCATGTCCCGGTATGACGACTTATTGATGTCGCAGTGTGGCGTCTTAGTGTGTGTGTGTGTGTGTGTGTGTGTGTGTGTGTGTGTGTGTGTGTGTGTGTGTGTGTGTGTGTGTGTGTGTGTGTGTGTGTGTGTGTGTGTGTGTGTGTGTCACATTAAGCGATGGTGGTTAACGACGCACACACTATCACGGGAGTACTGAAATAAGGTTGAAACAGGAAAGAAAAAAATGAATAACATAAGAAGGATGGAAGTAAGATAGAAGTAGAGAGGTTAAAAAGAAAAAAAAATCGAAGGAAACATGAAAAAAAAAAGGCGGCAGCTTCGCCGTTGAACAATAGCTGTAATATGTGGCGACGCTGGTTTCTTTCTCTCTTTTATTCGTTTTCTTTTTAATTGACGTAGCCGGAGTCTTGCCACGAGCGTGAAATCCAGAGGACCGACTCATCGCTCCAGCTGCGGCGTGGAGGGTTCATATACTCGCTGACATTTTAAAAAGCGTGTTCCTTCGCAACAGCTCCCTAGAAAGAAACAAAGTTAAAATAACAAGAAAAAAAAAAGACGAAAGAAAACAGCACAGGCGAGCAACGCAGGTAGACGACAGCCAGCAGCTTTCCAAAATGCCATTGAGAAATAAAGGCAGCCGAGACAGGCGCCGTGCAGGCTTAAAGCTCTGAATGGGGGAAAAAAAGGGGGGGAGACGGAGCGAAGAGGGAGAATACGAAACATTCTGAAATATTCACGTGAAGTTAGTATGAGAATCAACACTGCATAGATATACTGATCAATTGGACCAACCAGACCTCAGTAGCAAGCCATGTTGGCGACTCACAATACCGCATACAGTGTTAAAGTTCGTCATATCGTATAAACGTCACACTCCTAATATAATATATATATATATATATATATATATATATATATATATATATATATATATATATATATGCAGTTTCAGGAATGGACCTCCCGTCATTAAATTTTATAATTTTACCTAAACCACAATGAAGTGAAGTTATGAGATAAAGGGAAAATTACGTAGAGTGGACAACAAAACAACTCTCCGGCAGTGGGAACCGAACCCACGGCCTCGGAATCACGCAAGAGACGTGTCCCATCTGAATCGAGTGCAGAACAAACGCTCAGACTGATGTAGGTCTTCTATAGATTGGTCTCGGACTGGATATACATGTTGAGTTGTTTGGCGTCAGTGTGAGCCTTCGTAACACTGGAATCATGCAACGGTTTCTCAACAAGAAAAAACAACGTCATTTTCTTTCACAGGTGTTCATGCAGAAAAGGCTACACGGCGATTCTCAGGAATGCACGGGTGTTCTCAAAAGAAGTTCATGTTTTTTTTTTTTTTTGTCTTCGTGTCTTTCTTTTTAATTGTTTACTGCGAAAAAATTTCGTACTAGAACAAACGGGCGTAAGATATGCCTTCTGGGCATACAGCGAACAAAACAGTCGGAAGTGAACTCTCTCTTTTTTTCTAAACTTCGTTTTTTTTTTCAGCATTGTTTAAAAGTGATCCAGCGGTATATACGTAAATGTCTCTGTTATTGCACTAGGGAACCTATCAGCTGCTGCCGTCATCTGTTTGCGCGTCCAAGCAAAACTACTCCCCAGAAAGATTTTAAAAAACTACACTCATCAATTTCGACTGCTACTACGTTGCGAGATTAACGGAGTACGAAATCTAGCTCGCAAAAAAATTGTATAAGAATATAATAAAATAATATTTTAAGCAAACGATGGTATTCTGCACTGACAAAAAGTATACCTCAGGAACAATGCAATTTTCAGACACTGCTGGCATTTTTTTGTTAATTGTTAAAGCTTCTAAGCAGCGCCAGGAACTCTTATCACGAACAAGGGTTTACGAACAAGATTTAGTATGGATCGAGAAACCTTTCCAGCAAGTTTTAAGAGGCTTAGGTGATGTCTTATGAAAACAGAAATTCAACTTCGAGATTTAAACAAAAAACACAGCGCATTCGGAAAGAACAGTGAGGCGATCGATAAAGGATACGACTACAAGAATCACTACCTATGTGTTTCATCGTGACGATAAAATAAATACGGCGATACACAAACATTCAACCGCTTGCAGTCACACGAGCAAACAACAAATGAACGAAGAATTACGGGGAAGAAATGATCGTTAAACACCAGGTGAAACTGAAAACTTGTTCCCTAACAAGGCGCAATTATGTGCTGCCTTCCTGAGACACCAGAATTCTAAGTCACTTACAATTCGGTTTCTCGCGTAAACGACTTTCTCTTTTAAATAGGAGAGAAAAATACGACTGTTTTGTGGGATGCACTTTGAGTTCACGAAGCCGGAAAACAACAGCAGCGACAAGAGGTAACAAATGGCGGAGTGACGCCATCCTAACAAAGAACGCGAGCAGCGCCTCACGTACGCACAGCTGAGAGGTCCAGCTCGGTGGAACATCAAGGTCACAGGCAGCTTCTAAGTTGTAACTCCAAGTAAGGTTGTCGAGTCATTGCGGTCAGCTCGGTCCAAATCATCGGTCTGCGTGGCTATCGAATTCACGACGTGGGATAAACGCGAGTCGTCGGACGAGCCCATTCGACGATGTAAACAAAGGGACCGACGCCCAAGCCACAGCTCCCCCCCCCCCTTTTACCCTTAGGCCTAAATGGCCCATATTTCGTACCGAAACTACTTTCTCCGTTGACTGAACATACGAGGAATCGTAAAAACGCTATATTCACGCAGTGTATCCGCGACGTAGCAGCGCTAATAAGTGCCGAATGCAAAACAGCTGGAGCACCAGATGGCCATCGCTGCCCTCGTCGAGCGTCCAATATGGCGGCTCTGCCTTGGCAACAACGGCCGATCAGAAATATTTCTGAGAGCGAGCAAATAGAGGATATTAAACCAAAACTACAGTGTTTCAGACCCCTTTAAAAGTACCTTCATTCGTTCTAAAACTACGCGAAAGAAAAGACAGGTTTTGCAATTCGAAAGAAAGCTGTAAACAAGCCTCGTCCACGTAGGCAGCTCGAAAACCGGCTCTACGTCCATCACGGCGTAAAAGAATGATAACGACAGTGACTCGGTTTAAGTATTTATTAAAGCATTTGTAAAGAATACGAGTTAGTGTGGATCCAGAGAAAATAACGTCGGTGCACGACCGGCTTACTTCTGAACTCCGGGCGAAAACAGCTTGGTAACATTCCGCATAGCGAGCGTCGGTGGCAGCGACGAAGCGAGCAGCGTCTGCTACGGAAGAGAGCAGACGACAAAGGCCTTTCTCTCCACGGGACGCGTCGCCCGCGTCACCCCACCGGCCCTGACGTCGACTTCCGGAGAGAGCAGCCAATCCCGTCGGCGGACCGGTTGTTTTTTTGCAAGCGCAAACCTCCTATTGGCCAGAGTGCGACGTCATCGCTGACGTTATGAGTGAGGAGGGTTTAGCGATGCCGGCCGCATATATACGAGGAGCACGGCGAGCGGCTTTCAGTCGTACGCCTTGCAAAGGACACCAAAGGTGGCGGCTCTGCCGTCTTTTCGCGTTGTAACCCACCTGCCAAAAATAAGTGAAAAAATTATATATACCTTAGCCGTAAACCTCAGTCGGAACCGTCCAAGTGTGTCTGTGTGCACCTCCCGAGTCATCGTTGTGGCTGTTGTGTGATTGTTTGCGACTGGTGAGTCGTCGTCTCCCTGTGATCTCCGTCGTGAGCGTCGTCAGCTGGATCCCTGCGCCGCAGCCATCGCCATATTGGATTGTCAGCACTAGGCCTACCTGCGACAAGCCCAAGCGAGTCGTTTGCCCCGGGCCGTGGGTGGAATCAAAGTGGCTCGTGCTCGGTTACCGGTCAAAGTGTGCTCCCACCCTCGCTGTTGGCTTCGCCACTGCTGGACTCGAAGCTCATCATGAGACTGGAGATCCGAAGTGCGTCCGAATTCCTCATGAATATTCTTCGGCTCGGTCGGAACCTGGATTCCCGACTGCTCGACGTGTTCCGAGGAACCTTAGAGGACTTGTTGCGGCACCACTACCAGCACCACTGGTTTCCCGAGAAGCCGTCTAAGGGCTCCGGCTACCGCTGCATCCGAATCAACCACAAGATGGACCCGATCCTGGCCAAGGCGGGCCGCGCTTGCGGCCTGCAAGAAGCTAGTCTGCGCGAGCTGCTGCCCAACGAGCTGACGCTCTGGGTGGACCCGCTCGAGGTGTCGTACCGCATCGGCGAGAACGGATCCATTTGCGTGCTCTACGATGGAGGCCACCACCACGCATCCACGAGCAGCAGCAGCAGCGTGAGCAGCCACGGTGGGAGCAACAACAACCACTACTCGTTGCTCGCCAACTCGCCGCAGGGCGCCCTCTCCTACCATCACCAGCACAACAATCACCTGAACAACAACCACCACCACCACCACCACTACTCGGGCTACGAGCGCATCGCGGCGCGGCCCGCGGGCTGCAAGGGTTCGTGGGACGCCGACCCGCGGAACATCAACTTCGAGCCGATGGCCACGTACGTGTCGAGCTAAAAGAGCGCCTATTATCTCTCTCCTAAGTGTGTGACAAGAGACAGACTGCCAAAATGTACGCGCTTCAGTGCGTTTGAGGGTTGGGGGCCGCGGTGGGCTGCGCTTGCAGCCGACGCCGCCACTCCGCGCATATCCGACGGTTGATGACGCCGCCTCCTTGTGTGATAGACCGGTCGGCTTTCCTCGGCTGCCGGTCACCTCCGCCGAGCCGGCACGGACTCGTCGCGTTGAGTGCGCCAAGTCGTCCGAATGAGAAAGCCGCCGGCTGGCTCGATTTACCTCTGCAGCGTCGCTATCGCCGGGCAGCGACTGTGGGCGCTGTGGAGCGCACCGGTGCGGTCGCTACCTGGGTAGTGTTTTTTTGCTTAAAAAAAAAAAAAAGAACGTACCGTGTTCGTTGTTCAGTGCGAGACCACCGGCGGCTTTCTCGTTTTCTTCGTCCGTCTTGCAACTGCTTCGCGCACGAATCCATGTGCAAAACCGTTGCCGGACCCGCTGTGGTGGCCGGGAGCCGAAGAAGCCCGGCTGTTTTGCGACGGCGATCGTCCTCGGGATCGGTACGAGTGCACACCCGTCTTCACCTACCGACAACTCCATCTTCACGGTGACGGGACGGGGGTGCATGGCGCAGTGGTGGGTTCAGCCCGCCTCCCAACCTGGAAGCCTCCTTCGCTTGGCCACAAGGGCTGGGAGGTATGGTACAATGTGATCTCGTTAAAAAAAAGCAAACACAAACTTTTTTTGTTCATTTAGAAGAAGGCCCCTCTCCGACTTTTTTTTTTTTTTTGAGACTTGTACACCGCAATTAGAAACTTCGTCGTCGTAGTTGATACGTGCTTCACCGGAGTGTAAGAAAAAAAAATAGACTTTACTGATGAATGAGGCACCAACTACAGCGACGAAAGTTGTTGTTTTTTTTTTCAAACTTCGGTTACGTCAACGTCTCCACCACGTAGTGCGTGCGTGTGTTTTTTGTTTATTTAAGTGAACGCGTGATAAAAAAGAAGTGCTCTTCCTCTCCTTCTCACCCCCGGTTTTTTTTATATATGTATAATTATGTATATGTGTGTATAATAGTAAAAATGCCAGCCAGTACTACACGAGTGAAGGTCAAAAAACAAAAACTTGCGTAGCGGCGAGAGATGTTTTAAAAAGGAAAAAAACACAAAGTCGTGTAGGCAATTGTACAAAAGATACAAAGTGAAATGCCAACAAAAAACACACCCCCATACAAAGAGTTTTTTTCAGGAGAGTCAGGGGCAAAAGTGATGTGTTTGAAAGGCGACAGACTGATGCTGTTTGGAATGTGTATACCACCACGTCTCTCTCTCTCAAAGTCAGAGCAATCACGTTTTTTGTGTGTTTGTGTGTACACAACCTGAGAGTACAAGTTTTTTCAGGGACCATTGCCGCCCCCGAAAATGCCCATCTTTTTTTTTTCTTCGGAGAAGAAAAAAACATGCATCAATGAAGAGAGTGCGCGAAAGGAAGAAAACACAAAACATTTATTAAACTAGTGTACATCTTAGTGACGCATCGGCAGAAGCAGCTTTGAGAAACGTAAATACTACAGGGAATTGAAAGTAGCGTCGATTAACAATGTAGAATACACTGCTCAGGGCAAGGTGTTTTGAAAAACCAAGTTGAAATTTTTAATTATACACAAGCCTAGCCGGTCAGTCAAGCTCTTTCGAATGTCCCTTTTGAACTGACTTAATTTATGCGGCCGCTGCCAGAATTGAGGAGAAACTCCAACGGATGTTTCAGAAAAAAAGAACTATAACACTGCGGTGAATTGGAAGGTCTTCGATTATTTTTAAGAAACATTAGACTCATCATTGTGCTGCTAATTTTGTCATAAATTAGGGTGGGCGAGATAATTTCCTGCATTTGTCACTGTATCAACATTTTTTTCGTTGTTTATTATTTTAATGGCCTCAATTCTTTTCCCCTTTCGTCGATTGTCTCCCCCGCCCCCACGAGTAACTATTTGCCGACACCACTGCTAGTTACTCTTACCAACCACTGTGATCGCTGCCGCTACAGCCGTCATTATTACGTCGTCTTTGGTCGTCTCACCGCTTTTAATGAAAGCAAAACGACACATTTAAACCTACTGCATTCTGTTTAGTTGACACCCCACGCTAAAATGGAGTTTCACAACTCTGTTTTGTAAACTGGTCACCGAAATGTTTTTTTTTTTTTTTTGCTTTCTCTCTAATGTTTTTTTGCTGTCGCAACGGCGTGTTCATCAACACGTCAAAGTATTACTGCCCTGCCTAACTATTACTTATGTATAGTTTTGCTCTACTGTTACTATTTACCGGCCCACTGTGCCTGCCTGTGCTAATCCACGATTAGTTATTTACCGGTGACTATGTAAAATTCAGTGTGTTATTCTTTGCAGTTGGGTTCAGTCGTTGCAGTTCTGCGCCAAGCGTTTCAATTGGAAGGGGCCATAGAGAATTGCAAGATGCGTCAGCAGATACTCTGGATTGGGCAATCTGCTGTTACGTTTTCGAAATTGTTTGTGGACCCTAACACTTGAATGCTCGATGAGAAGGCAGTGACGGTACCCAACTTAGTTAAAACAGAGATGTACTGAAATCATGCTTTTATTCTACATATTGCCTTGTAAAGAAACCATCTGTTGTATTTTCTTTCTCTGGATCCCTGCACCTTGTGTTGTCATTCTGAATCCTGAAACGGTCTTCTTGCCATCCCTGTCTCCAGTGATCCAGCCTACTCTCGCATGATGACCAGCCTAAGCAAAAAAAAAAAAAATGGCCGTCTTGCTTGACCCGTCTCACCTTGCCTTGTGAATCTTCTGTACAATTCTCTCATTTTCTTTTTCTTTCCAGAGAAAACAAACGTTTTAACAATTGTGTAAATGAGCGAAAGTGATAAGAATATGTCGTCTTCAAAACAAAACGTGATTCATGAGAGAGTTCTCGAAACACATTATTGTTTTTATTTTTAAAATCGCGCATTATTTACATGCTCATCAACCACAAACACATCGTGCGTCGTCGTCGTCAACCCTCGTATGACTGAAACTGCATTTTGCCAGTTTGTCTTGTAAAGATTCATTTTTTTTCTCTCTATGTCTTGTAAAAAGGAAAGCTGTATAAAGGCATTATGTAAATGTACAGTCGTACAACTATAGGAGATTTTTTTGTACAGTAAATAAACCTCGTGGATGCATTGAAAACGTGCGACTGTTCTCTCTTCAATGGGCCTTGCTGGCCACATGGACAAAAATTCCCTGGAAATTTCGCAGACTGGCTCAGAACTCAACACCCCTCACCCTGTACCAAGTTATTTCATCCCTTCCCATTTATTTTGACGTCCAAAGTGGTGAAAACTCAGTGTTCGCTTCAACGCGTTCCCGTCACACAACTGTGGATATATGATGAAGACATCTCGACACTAGAGGATACATTACTATGGATACGCGAATCAAAAGCCTTGAGGATATCGATAAGTGAGTCGACGAAAATGGATAACATACTAGAAAGAGGTAAGCACAGCTCAGGTTGACTTTGACCTGCAAGGTGCAGTTGGCCTGAGTGTTTTTTTCTGTTGTTTCTTCTGAAGCTTATACAAATTTAAAGGATCGAGAAAACTCGAAAGGCCATGGTAGCGACCTTGCATCTACACCTAGCTTTGTTGCTAGTAGCAACACAAGCAATTAATGACGACGCGCAAACGCCGCTAGGTTGCGCATCGTTTTCATGAACCCATATGTTGCAGATGACGCCTTAAAGTTGAGTGTGACGCACCCTCGCGACCAGAAAGTGGAGCCTCGCATGAATTGCGTTGTGTAATGTGACGTAGAGCGACGCTCGCACGTTCAGGTCGCAAGTCTGACCAGAAGACTTGTGTATGTTTCAACCCGAAACTATAGCGGTGTCCACACGTTTATGGAAACAAAATCCGACGGTTTTCGGGGATTCTGCAAGCCAACCGATCGCGACCAATAGAACATCTCAATGGAAAGAAAAGAACCTCCTTTCTTAACTACTGCAGATGTCTGCAAAGGCTGACGTCCCTGTCAGTGCATTTTTGGAGGGGTCACGCATATAAACGCGATAGCGTTAAGAGCTCCTTTCTCGGAGCTCCCTGAATTCGAGGTGGGGGAGGCAGGGGCAACAACAATAAATGGTCATTTGTCGCTTTGTATGCCGTGGCGCAAAAACATTTCAGTTGGGAAGGGGGGCACGGCCCCAGGTGTGCCGCTACCTGGCTACAACAGGCCGCTGTCACAAGATGTAGTAGTCTCCCGCAAGGGCCGTGGCAGTCAAACATACTGGAGCGCGGCATGTCGGCTAATGTTGCCATTTAAAGAAAGAAAATTCTTTAATCCCGTATATGGGTCATGTCTGAAGGGGAGTCGACGTATGGACATATCGGTAATGTTCTCCAAAATGACAGGCATCTGAACGCCCGTTCTGAAACGTAGTTTCATCTCAACAGGTTATTCGTACACATGGTGATCGAATCGCGTGCTTCACGGAAGATAATGCTTGAGACCAATCACGTCTGTGTAGCTAATGAATACAATTTAACTAAAAAAAAGGAAAATGCGGGAAAATAAAGGCAGTCTTGTGCGAACCGCTCGTGAAAGGCCCGTGGTTTGAGACCCCTAACCAAGGCGGTTGCGTAGGCAGTAGGGAGGGCGGGAGGTCAAACGCACTCGATTGTTTTTAAAAATCGGGATGTGTGTATTACACATGCACGAACACCTAGTATGTTTGAAGTTCCCCGAATAAGATGTCCGTATATGCTATTGGACCAACGCATTCGCTTTTTTCTTCTTCTTCTTTCCTTGTGTCTTAAACAGGAACGCGCACTTAACGCAGCATAGCGGCTCTGTTGCCTCCACTTGTCCCGGGTTAACTCGACGCGCAACACGGGCCTCTGGCGCCTGCCGGGGCCGGCCTGCTGGCCTCGTCGCATACGGCGCCATCGCGGCCAGCGCCGCCCGTGCGAGGCAGTCGCTCAGCGTTTTCCGCCCCACGCGGCCGACCAAAGCAGTCGTCGTCTCTCGAAATGAAACTAGGCCGACCGCTCGTAGCCGTTGCGGGAAGAAGAGTGGGGGAAGAGGCTAATAAGCAAGGAAAAGAAAATAGAACAGCGGAAGAAAAAGAACAAAAAAAAAAACAGAGCGCTGAGGAACAGGCGCAGAGAAAAAAAAGGACTCGACATAAATGCCAGGCCCCGCTTGCAGCCTGCGTGCCGTTTTCTGACTCTATTGCAGTTCCCGACACTACAACAACGGTGGCATGAGCATTGAATAGCTGGCTCGTTCGTTGTGTGTGACTCTGTGTGTGTGGAACGAGTGGAAGAGAGAGATAAGGGGGAGAGGTGTAGCGTACTGGTGTGGTGCACAGCGGGTGGCCTCTCCGACGTGACGAAGGAACTTTCACAATGGAACAGCGGTTGAGCAAGAGGCGGAGATGGCAAGGGGGAGAGGTTGCCGGGGAAGGGAGGGGGGGGGGGGGTGTTATAGCTGGTCATCGTGCGATTACTGTGCAAACTCGAGACCGTCACCGCCGTCACCAGGGGGCCCGAATGACGAACTGTTGCCCTCCTAAAGAAGGAAAACAAAAATAGAAAAAAAAGGAAGGAGAAAGAAAGCATTCAATGGCCAGCCATCTCAGAACGACCCACAACAGGAGATAAATTTGAATTAATTGTAAGCGTGTGTGAGGGGGGGGGGGGGATCTTTTAGCAACGTTCGGCAGTGTAGATGCCGAGGCTAGCCGATAAAGGAACAGATCTCCAGGACCAACTTTGGTCGATCCAAGAAGCCCGAGAAGCTACCAGAAGGTGGAGTCGTTCTATATAATACCTCAGGCGTGGCCTAGATCCAGACCATCAATTTGTAATGTTTTTTTTTCTTCATTAAATTTGTCTATCATTTACTCCCTGAAGACACATACACAGCCGCAAACATGTTTTCTTTTTCTGCTAAGAGCTAGGATAGTACAAGGACAAATCGAGGAACCTTTAGCATTCTTGCTGCTTAACTCTTATATATGACTATTTGGCGTCACCCTCAATATGTTCGCGTCTGTTGGGAAACCGCAGGCAGGGTATTTCGCGTCTAGAAGCCCATGTCGTAAAGCCTACTCAGTTCTTCCGTGGATGTCGAAACGCACGTGAGATCACTCGTTAAAGGGCCAGTTTTCCCCGTGTCGCCCACTTGGAGAGCCCTCGCGCATTGTGTATAGTACAACCGGTTCTCGTCACCAAGATGAAGCGCTTTGTGCTCGGCTAAGCTATTGAGAACATCTGGACTAGGTGAGCATTTACGCAACACGGTTACTGTGTCTGCGGAATAAAGATGTCTATCTTCGATGCCGTACTTGGAAGCCGTATTCGAAGACGTTTCGCCGCTGAATATTTCACCTTGACGACTTTATGAGTGGACTAATACAATAGGCGTTCGTTTTCTGTAGCATGACCAGAATTTTTTTGCGGGGACACAGTGGGGCGAGGGGGAAGTGCAATACACTTCACGTGTGTCCGTGTGCTCGTGACTGCTGTTGATGCTCTGACAGTTGCCCCACCGTCGGATGGATGGATGGATGGATGGATGGATATGGCTCTACCCTTTAGATCGTGCGGTGGCTAGCGCCACCAAGCCGTAATACTTAATGAACCAACAACTAGATTTATTTTTCTTTCCTTTAAATAGTGAGGTTGAGGATTCGTACTTTATAGTGAATGGTTTTAAAATGCTACTTGACGGGATTTGAGCTCGCTACCTCCTGATCTCTAACCGAGTACTCTACCCACTACGCCACGCCAGGACGTCCTGTGGTGTGCGACCTCTGCTGACTGCTTCTAACCCCATCTTCTACTTTCCTATTCTTTATTCCTCCTCCACTCCACCACTACAATGCATAGAATTTTCTAATATACACCAGAGGGAACTCTGGCGCTGGTGTCTATGGGAGCTGCAACGCACGGCGCTTCAGCGAGCGTGGGAATGATGGGTAGTACACACATTTGTCTAATCTTAGTACTTCTGGCCTGCTTTTGGCTCCGTGTGTGTTCGTGTGGCTTGGAGCTGTTTTCTCGCGAAACAAAAATTAGCAAATGTTCAGCGGTTGCGCTTCCCCACCTTATTCTTTTAGACTTACCTTTCCAAATCGGGTCATAAAGTTCAAAAGGGTGTAATCTTTTTTTTTTTTTTCGAAACAAAACCGAAACACAGCAATAAACGAAACCGCAAGTACGATTCGCCGCCCGCAAGTTTGAAGATTAGGCAAATGTGTGTACTACTCGTCATTCCCATGGTCGTTGAACGATCCCAGCGACAGAGTCCCCTCTAGTTAATTTTAGGAAACTCTATGCTACAAGGCACTTAGCCGTGTCGCCATCTGCAAACAAAAATTAGTGCCCTTTTCCTTTCTTTCAAGAATTACAATATATATTCAAGAATCACGTGCGTGCTTTTGTATGTGTGCGCGTATAGTCTCATCACAAAATTGTCAGACGGAGGAGGGTTCATTCATTTTAATTGAATATCGGCACTTTAACGTTGTTCCTTGTATAGCTTTAATTATTCGTGTACAGTTATATGCTACAGCAGCATTGCATTGGTAGGTTCATGGCTTCATTTTGTAAACTAACCGAAGGTGGGACTACGGCTTGCATTAAGCTTCATAACGTCAATTTTCGCCCTCCTTTACATGCAAAACAGCAGGCGCAAGAGTTGCGTTTGTGTAAGTTGTTCTTGCAGACGCAGTATACAACACGGATATTAGGTTACCTGACTTCGGGGCTAAGGCTCATGATTTAACAACTGATTTGATTGATATGTAGGGTCTAACGTCCCAAAACCCTCATATGATTTTGAGAGACGCCGTAGTGGAGGGCTCCGGAAATTTCGACCACCTGGGGTTCTTTAACGTGCACCCAAATCTGAGCACACAGGCCTACAACATTTCCGTCTCCATCGGAAATGCAGCCGCCGCAGCCAAGATTTGATCCCGCGACCTGCGGGTCAGCAGCCCAGTACCTCAGCCACTTGACCACCGCGGCGAGGCATGATTTAACAACTGCTTTGTCGGTATTACAGGTTTAGCCGTGTGTGTGGTGGTGGTGGAGTTCTATTAAACATTGTTCAATTTGCACGTACCAGTTGTACTTGAAGGCTGGTAAGTAAGTGCCACATTGAATACTGATATCAATGCAGTG